AGTTACCGAGCATATTTGAAATAAGACTGTAAAAGGCAAAAATAAATAATAGACATATATGACTCGTTTGATTACCGTATTAAAAATGGATAGATTGGATAAAATATATATGACTCGTTTGGTTACCGTATTAGGTTACCGTATTAAAAATGGATAGATCGGATAAATAATGCAGTTTAATATAATATAAGTGGATAAAAATTAAAATTAAATATGGTATTAGAATAATACGTAATTTTATCTTGTATTTGATAATGCACAATATATGCGTTGGATAGTAGTTATTTAATTCAATCGGTGAGCCAACTCGAGCCTAACCCAAAAAAATAGAGTTTGAGTCAAAGTTTTTAATACTTGAATTGAACTTAGGTAGAAAAATTTCAACCCCAATTGAATTCGGGTAAGCCTCGGGTTAAGGCCTCAAGTTATCGGATTCAACTTGATATATATATATATATATATATATATTTAACTAGAGTTAATATTTATCTTCACTTTTCAGAGTCCAGACTTTCACTTCACTTCAAGTCTTCACCATTGCACTTTCATCACTCTTAGATCTCTCTTTAACTTGTCACTCGTTTCTTATTTGATCTCAAACTCTTAATCTCCCTCTTTCACTCATCACTCATCTCTCTTTTATCAACCCGAATTAAATAACTCGAGTCTAGCCCGATTTTTAACCCAAAATCAATTCGAATTGAGTAACTCGAACCCGCCTGAATTAAACTTGGGCAATACTCAGGTTGAGTACCTCGAGTTGAGGTCGGGTTATGATTAGAGTTAATGTTGAAGATTACATAGTTAGGATTGGGTTATGATTGATCTCTCAACCCGTCTAACCGCTTGAATTACACCCCTAATGTTATTACTTTTCTATAATAAATTAAATTCACCTATGACGTTATCGGAAACTTACCTTTATACAGAATGACATAAATTTTCAACACGCTTTCAAATAAGAGTTTTTTTTTCATATTTTGTATCTCGAATGATTTTAAGTTTTTTATTTTATATTTTTAAAGATTAAATTTTTTATATTATACTATTAATGTATCAAAAATGTTATAATATGATCCTTCTATTATATTTTATTATTTTTTTTCAAAAACCAACCTGTGGACACTGATGAAAAAATTAACAAAAGGGTCATAATGAAACACTTTTTATATATTGAGAGTATAATATAAAAAGAATTAATTAATCTTTAAAAAAGCAAAGTGAGAAACTTAAAATTTAGAGGGTGTAAAATGAAATTCATCCTTCAAATAAATAACACTAGATTGTAAAATAAGTCAAAAATTTTGACACAAAGGAGTAAAGTTTGAAAATCAGAGGAATTAAAAATTTTACATGTATACTTCAACTTCTACTAAAGGTGTCTTAACCTAGTTAAGAAAAAAAAAGTATGTTAACATAAAATTTTTTTAATTATTCATTTTGTTCTTAATAATATTCGAAAGGTCATCATGTTGGATGATACACAAAAATGGATTTCTGCAAGATTAAATTAGTCGAATGTGTAGTGTAAAACAATTAATGAAACAATTAATAACAAGAGATAAGGATTAGGTGGTTGGGTTTAGGTGACCAAATCACTAAAGACGGCAGTGATGGCTAGAAACTCTATTAATGAGAGTAAAGATAATAGGGGAAAGAGAGAGAAAAAAAAAAGAAAGAGTAAGAGTACACTAAATGTGAGGTGTGTGTGTTCTGCCCCCATGTATAAGGGGATTTACAATTTACAGGCGCATAGAAACCTAGTTAAGGCGGTGACGTGAATGACAAGTTACTAATCTATAGGGGATGATAGTTACAATTGAGGATAAACACTATCTTGAAGTCATAGATATCTTGATAATTGCTCTTTCATGTGCATTAACTCTTCTTAAACTTTTAAACTTTAGATTGGGTTGAAGTCATGAACTAAATCTAACATGCTTTTTGATGATTTGGGGTCAACTCATGGACCGAGCCCAAACCTGATCTGAATATGGGCTCATCAACGTTCTTTTAGATTTAAGTTTTGAAATTCTCATTATGTCCTTTTGTATTTTAATATGAAAACTTTGATCAATCATTTTATTATTTTTAATATGATTATCACTCAATAACACTACTACCATTTTAAAACTTGAAAGGCATGAATGAATGCTTCCATCGGCCACCAATATTAATTCCAAGTTCCATCTACAACTGAGAGGGCAAATGGGGGTGAGCTGCAAAAAGTTCAATAAATAATTTAAAACATAACGTACCATTGTCTTCAAATTAGGTTTGGCAATTTATGTATATTACATGTATATCTGTTGGACTTGACTACGGTATCGGAAAAAAAATTTGGTTTCATATTTCAAAAATTTATTATTTCAATGCGTGTTTTTTATAATTTTTATGGTCATTTAATAATTAATTTTTTTGTCACTTTTATGGATAATTTAATCACATTTATGGATATTTTTTACTATTGTTGTGAGTATTTTTATCACTGTTGTGGTATCTAATTTTACCACATTTAGACGGCACAAAAAAATTATCACTTTTATGAGTGATTTATCACATTTGTGGGTGAGTTTACCACTATTGTACATGTTTACTTTTCTTTAATATTATAATAGTGATAAAAATACTTATAAATGTATTAAATATCGGTATGGTACTAATTTTGTTTTGGGTACAGTAAACAACTCCATATCTGTTTGGTTGTTATTTGTATTTAGAGAAGCAAAAATGATTCATCGCAATGTCTTATATCTGTATTTTGATCTTTCATTTCTGCTTGAATGCAGTCCACTGGCACCTTTTCCGCAAAAGAGAAATATGAGAAAGAAATCTATATAATAAAACCGGAAAAAACTTAAATCTTATACCCAACATATTTTGTTGAGAAAATTGAAAGGAGGTATACCAAATTAGACTTAATTGAAAAAAAATACACACAAAAAAATGTTGAGTAATTAAGTTTTTAATTTTAATACTTATTTGCATCTAAGTACATTATTTGAATTTCATTGATTTTTTTTATGACGTTTTTGTCCTCCATTGATCCATGTGTATTATCTTTGAAAAATGGTGCATTAAATATCTTCTTTGGAAAGTAATACTCTCTCAATTCCTAAATATCTATCGTTTAAGGTTTTTGTAAAGGGATTAAGGAAGTTATTAAATAACTCTAATATGAGTAAAAAATAATTACATAAGACTAAAATATTCTTATTCAATACGTATTGGGAAAGAAAGGAATATGAAAAATACTTAGCATACACTTAATCTATTAAGCACTTATTGAAAAACAGAGATACGGGTAAATTTGAAAGAAAAAATATTAATTATGCTTTGGTTTCATAAAACGACAGATATTATGGAACAAAAAAAAATAGGTAAAACGACAGATATTTAGGAGCGGAGGGAGTAAATTATTTGAACTTATATATATATATATATATATATATATATATATATATATATATATATATATATATATATATATACTGTTGTTAAATATCTTTTCTAAATTTTGAATTATTTTTACTTTAATGCACTTTAATTCATGCGTATTTTTTTTTTGGAAAATGATTTTGTTTTCAAATTATATTTAATGTGCCTTGATTCATACGTTTTTTTTTTGGAAAGTGATTTTATTCTCAAATTAATTTAATATCAAAATAATGTAACAATAACAATGTAACAATATAACAAAAATAGTGTTAAGTAATTTTGTGCATGTGGTAACAAATTCAAAACAAAGATGAACTGTTTTAAATGAAATTATATGAAAATATATGTTTAACAAAATGTAATAGTATAATATTTTGTGTATATAGTTTGTTACATTGTTATTATTACACTGTTATTGTTACACTATTACACTATTCGGATATTAAATTAATTTGAAAATAAAATTATTTTCTAAAAAAAAAAATGTATGAATCAAGGTGCATTAAATATAATTTAAAAAAAAAATCACTTTCCAAAAAAAAATTGCAAGAATTAAGGGAGAACAAACAAATATGAAATATTAACGTTCTCCCATATATATATATATATATATATATATAAGAGATTTTGAATCAAGGTACATTAAATATAAGAGATTTTGAATTAAATGACCCTAAAATGAGCATTTACGTCTTTCTATTTCAGCTGTGTATTTTTTTTAAAATATTTTGTTATGTGTACTTTTTACCAAGTAAGTCTAATTAAGTGTATCGACTTCCAAAGAATTCTATTTTTTTCTCCAAAATCATCTTATCCAATCCAATCCAACCCAACCATCATTTCCAACCCAACCCAACCCAGACCCAACGGCTCCTTATGTCCTGTCTCTCTCTCACCTCCTCCCTCTTTAGTCTCATCTCAGTCCCTTCTCTCTCATCTTACATCCTCCCTCACCTCACAGTCAAGTGGCAAGACAGGTGGTCATTTCCCCCAAAACCATGGCATGGTCACTTCCCCTTTGGTTTTTTCTTTTAGTTCCCTCTTTTCTTCCACTTCCCCTTCGATTTTTTCTTTCAGCCATCGCTGCCAGGTATTTCTTTCAGCCACCGCTGCCACTGCTAGGTATTTCTCTTTCTCTCTCTGCCCCTTTACTAGCCCAGCCCCGACACACAACACCCACACACCCACAAAGCCACTGCTCCTAAACGACGGTGATACACACACACACACATCACTATCTGCCTCTCTTTCACAGGCAGCGACCATTGTGTCGATTACATTTGGGTAGGTGTCTCTCTCTCCCTCTCTCTCTGAGACGCAAATGATATGGAAAAAGGGGATGGTGGTGGCAGTCATGGGTTTGTCGTAATGCACATGAAGTGTTCGTCAAAATGCCTACTGCCCCAATCACCACCACCTACACCCCTTCCCACACACACATATATGTATAACATATCTATAAATTTTTGAGTTATAAAATGACCCACAAAAATTATATAAACATTATTTAAAGTAGTAAATTTTAGAGGTATGCTACTAAATTTTTTTCATTGGTACTGCAGCAAGTCCTATTCATGGTGATCAACTTTGATTGGTTCTGCTTGATATGGTATGGTAGTCACTATATGCTAAGTGGTGGTAGTTTTGGCATCAGAGTCTGCCATATTCTCTCTTTGGATGCTCAATGCTGCTGCAAGAGTTCAGAACCATTAAAATTTCTGTAAGTACGTTTCTTTTCTATTTGAGTTTCTGATTTTCTTTCACTTTCTGCTTTTCATCAGTGTTATACCGAAAATTATCAAGTCTCTTTTTTCCCAACATCTATTTTTTTCTGAATCCATCAGCTATTAGGGTTTATGCAAGAATTATCTATTGGGTTGTGGTCAATTTTTGTTATAAAGTGATTTTTGAAGTTTAGAAATGATTGCCTTTGTGCATTGCCGTCTCATGGATAAAGTGACCATTGTGTTGATTACATTTGTCGACCATTGTGTAGCTTAATTTGATTACTAAATTAAGTTATATGCATGCATTCTTTTTTTTTTGTTTAATAACGAGAGCATAGAGGTTGATTATACATTTGATATGCCTTAATTTACTGTTCACACATAAACTTGATTTGATATGTGTGGTTGATATTTCTTCGTTTTTGTGCCTATACTATTCTTTCTGATAAGACTCCCCTTCAACATACAGATACCATATTTGTTAAAAGGAGCAAGTAAAACCTGAAAATCATTAGTAGGGCCAACTTGAGAGGTTTTCATTTTTTCTTTTTGAACAAAGAGAGGTTTTCATTTCAAAAGCTTCTTTTCAACAATATTTCTCTACCTGTGTTTTTTTTTTTGGGCTTTTTAATGTTATTTTTTTTAATTTTATTTTTTTTATAGTGTCTTGATTTGATGAATGTTAGGGATATTTAGATTAAGATGTGTGTTGATTTATTTTACTTCTATAATTTTAGAGATTGTGTGTTAATTAGTATGAAATAGGTTTTTATAAGGTCTTGATTTGATGTATGTTAGGGTGAAATAGGATGAAATTCAAAGGCTTTAAATCTTTGTGATAAACGTTTTACGCCACTGGATGGTTAGATTAAATTCACGTGTTTGTGCATGTTTGTGAACAATTACAACGATCATTACAGTCTTGCAGACAAAATCCAAAATTCACGTTTTTGTGTATGTTTCTCTTATGTTGAATTTAAGTGACCTAAACAATTTTATTGATTTGCTTAACGCTCTAAAAAAAACTGGCATGAACCACTAGCAAAAAAGTTGAGGTTTTGTGTTTTTTTTTCTTTTGCTTTTGCTTTCTTGATTTTGATAATATATAAGAATTGTTAATCTACAGGTGATCGGAGCATTGGTCGATGACTTCTATTTAAGGTTACAATAGATGACGTTAATTCCCCACATTAATTTGTGAATACAAGAAGCTAAGATTGGGGTACACTTTTTGGTATTCTATGTTGTATTTTTGCATTTGGGTTTTGATTACTTTAGTGCACTTTTGAAAATTGGAAATCATTCTTTTATATGAATTGTTCAAGTGTATTCAAAAATTGTGTTGCCTCTTCTAAGCTAAATCATTATGTTATAGAGTTGCTTGGTTGTATTTATATTGATGTTTAGTGCTATTTAGGTCAATTTTATATTGATGTTTATTACTACTTGAGAAGTTCAATTTTGTATTGGATAGATAGCTTTGTGGATAATGCGACTGGGATTTTGGAATATTGATATGTTGAATTGGATAGATTTTTTATTTTTTTGATGATTGTAGTGGGTTACATGGGTATCATACTTTATGTTTAGCATGGTTCATTTCTTTTCATTTTTGGAATTGAATTGAGCAATTAGCAGTTAAAAGTAGAATTTTTCTTGAATTTGCTTGAAATTGAGTATAAAATTTGTGTGTGGATTTTGGTTTAGCTTTGTGGCAAATTATTGTGCTCTGGTATTGTAAAATAGGTTGACAACTTGATTGCTCTGGTCAATTTCAAGGTATTTTTCTCAAAAATTAGATTTATATGTCGGAACTCAGAGCTTGATTGAAGTCCATTTATTCGAGCATTGAGTAGGTTTCAGGTATTTTTTTACTTCAAAGCAAGCATCTATATTTAGTTGTTTTTTTTTAGTTTACCCTTTTTATTCTGGACTTTTGTTAATTATTGATACTTGAGTGGTTTCGGTTTAATAGAATTTTTGGTACTGAGAAGCCAATCCAATTTAAGATTTTTGACCTCGAAGCCCTGTTTAAATAAAATTCTATTTCTTGAAAAAGTTGGCTTGAAATAAACGTTTAAGATCTTGGAAGCAAAAGAGAAATGCCACATATGAATGCCTCACCTAAAAGCATCATGATCTTTGATGTTTGTTTCATTTATCCTTGAAGCAGTTTCTCCTTTTTGACATCTCGATCATGGGGCCTTGAAGCACCAATCAACTTACTCCCAATTTGTGTGCCATCAGCATTGAAGCCATCCCTGCTGTTGATTGTATATACATGGGACACTAGGTTAAGCACACCAACAATGGCCCTATACATGTTTGTTGAAATGCCTAAAAGTCATATACCCCAATCATAATGCCCATAACATGTTTGTTGAAATGCCTAAGAGGCGAGAACAAGCAATCACACCCACACCTACTGTTGTCTGCAAGCACATCTCTCTGCCACCCTCTCCCGCCCTCCTTCTTGCTTTCTCATAAACAAAGCCTCTCGGCCAAATGGGGTTGAAGAAGGTGGAGTATGGGGCTGTGTTGGATAGGGTAAAAATTACAAAAAAGGGAATATATTTGTTGCTTTCAGTTACTTTCTTTTGGCTGTTGGTGGCTTCCAATTTGCTTTGGCTTCTTTCAAGAAAACATTTTTGCAGGTGGATTCATAATACACTTAATTTGTCTGTGTATGTGCATTTCATTTCTTTGCTTTGACCAATGCACTGCATTGATTCATAATTGATGTCAAGGAGTCATGACAACTTTAAATTTTGGGTGTATTTTTTCTACCATTTAAATTTTTTTATGCAATTTTAAATGTGCTATGAATTTCGTGACCGGCTATTAATGGATAGTGAATTTTGTGAATTGAAGTGTTAGTTGAAATTGGACTATTAATGTGTTGCTATTGTGTTTTTGCTTTTAAACATTCAAATGTTTTGCTTTGGTTTTAATCTATTGTGTTGAATTTTGTTGTGCTCTTCTGGGCATTTGTTGGAGTGGTGCTAAGTGGTGATGGTTTTGGAAAGATCACGTAAGTGACTTTTAGTTCTTTCTTTTCCTTTTCTTGTTTGATTAGTTGTGAAATTTGGAGTGTTTCTGATTTAATGTAATTTTTTTTTTTTGAATTTAGGTGGTCAAAGTATTGGTTGATGACAACTTTTGACTTTTTTTATTTCACTAAAGTCATGACATTAAAAATGATCAAACGATTTTCAGCTTAATACATGTTTATATTTATTGTTTGATTATTTCGTTTTTAAAAACTATGGACAATGCATTTAGACACGTGATATAGGGTGATTTTAAGCTTTTAGTTTAGTATATATCCAAGTTCAGTGCTTGATTATTTCGTGTTTAAATTTAATGTTCGAATTTTTTTAGTTGTACCGTGCCTTTAAGTACGGGTTATCCCTAATTAAATAATAAAACATGACATTTTGTTTGAATTGCTTAAGTTTCTCATTTAAAAAAATACAAAAAATAATTTTGATCATTTAAATTCAACGGTTATATTATGACTTAATAATTTAATATTATTTTAGTCAAAATGACTCATTTAAATTTTAACATTTTAATCATTATAAGAAAGGCTAAAAACTATCTTTTTAATCAAGAAGGAATATGTAAGATTGGCAATGATTCATATTCTAATTCACAAAGGGCAATACTACACTGATCAAATTTTGGAATTAAATTTGGAGTTTAAATGACATGGTAATATATTATTTGAAGTTTTTATTGGGGTCCAAATGACAAAATACTAAATAAAGAAACACGAATCAGCTGCAAAAAATATGTCAGAAAAAAAGTTCACCGGCGACTTCTGCAGAGAAAGGTGCAACGAAATGTCATATCCAATTTTGAATTCTCTCTCTCTCTCTCACACGCACACATACATAATTGCATAGGACAATAACACTCCGACGGTGAAAGATTTGCAGGCAATATTTCATGTGTCCCGCTTGCAAATTGATGAGAAAACGATGACACGCATATCCTAGAATGCCTGGACACGCACGACTCTCACCCCTATAAAATGGTAAGCTTCTCCTGGCAAAATTTTTAAGCCAAACAACAAAATCATATCCAAAACATGGCAAGCTACTCACAAGCTTCGTCCTTTGCCCTCTCCCTCTTCATTCTCTCTCTATTTGGGTCCTCAAATGCTTGTGGTATAGCCACCTACTGGGGCCAAAACGGCTACGAAGGGACCTTGGCCTCCACCTGCGCCACGGGGAACTATCAGTTCATAAACATAGCATTCCTAACCACATTTGGCAGTGGCCAAACCCCAGCGCTAAACTTAGCTGGTCATTGTGACCCCCCCTCAGGCACTTGCACCACTCTAAGTAATGACATAAGGGCTTGCCAAAACCAAGGCATCAAAGTGTTTCTCTCTCTCGGAGACGGCGTGAGTAGCACTTCCCTTTCTTCAGCTGATGATGCAACGCAAGTTGCCAATTACCTTTGGAACAATTTCCTCGGCGGCCAATCGAGTTCTCGTCCCTTGGGGGATGCCATTTTAGATGGTATCGACTTTGATATCGAGTCGGGTTCGGGCCTATATTGGGATGACCTTGCCAGGGCCCTCTCAGGGTTCAGCTCACAGAGAAGGGTGTACTTATCTGCAGCACCACAATGTCCTTTCCCTGATGCTCATTTACACACTCCCATCCAAACCGGCCTCTTTGACTATGTTTGGATGCAATTCTACAACAATCCGCAGTGTGAATACAACAACAATAGTCCTGATAATCTTTTGGCCAGTTGGAACCAGTGGACTTCAGTTCCATCTAATCAGATTTTCTTGGGTTTACCGGCATCTCCTGCCGCAGCTGGCAGTGGCTATATTCCACCTGATGTGCTCATTTCTCAGGTTCTTCCATATATCAAGACTTCTTCCAAATATGGAGGGGTCATGCTCTGGAGCAGATACTATGACGACTGGTATAGCTCAGCTATTATAGGCAGTGCCTGCTCTCCCATGAATAAG